GAAGAAATATACTTATCATATGAAAGCTTCTGGATGTACTTTACTTTAGCACTGACGGCAGAAAACCAATCATAAGAGTCAGTCGATTTTGATAATTTATAGTCTTTATGTAACCCGGATGAGATGGATCAGTTTCATGGAATACCAGAACGGGTAAAAGATACCAAAAATCAGCCTCACTGCAACATTGCAGTCAATTAGGGAATAGAGAATATTATAAAAGATGTCCACATTTGTATTAATATCCATGCTAAGACAGTAACCCCTGTCAATCAGATTAAGTTTCAAACAAATAGTTATATAATCAGCACCTTTAAAATCATAAAGATGTAGAGAGAAATAAAGTAGGATTCAAATCACAGTAACCTGGATGTAATAATGGCATTGTAAAAGTGAGCGCAGGGTGGTAAGGATCACATTTAATAAGATCAATAAACCGCTGTATATCAAAAGTGTCAAAGTCTCAGAAGATGAGATCAAGTGACAAGTTTTTACGATTAACAATACCATTATGTTGATGCACATTCAGTAGAGCCAGCACATTTAAAAACTAGTAACTGTCATTAACCACAAATGAAGAAAGAACGGGGAAAGTGTTGGGGAGTCATAGCTGAAATGTGCTCAGTCAAGTCCCGAAATGTTGAAATCGCTAGTCAAGAGCATAGAAGCAGATGGATTTGCAAGCTTCAGCAACATTTAGAAGATTGTCAGCTCATATAATGATGGATTGGAGCACGGAGGTAAATATACGACCCCAACAATCAGACTGACCCTGTTAAGTAAAATTTTAACAAAATGATGTTCAATGTTCAGGGTGCCAGTAGTGACCAGAAACGGAGTCAAGGAGTCTCTGAACGCAATGAGAACATCTCTTCATGCATACATGCTGAAGTGTACATCACGATTTTGATGGAGGGAAGAAAACAAAAATCATGACTGTTGAACAAATAGATCTCTAAAAGTCTACTATTTTTGTTCGCAGGGCCTCTGACTTTCTGGTAATATACATGGAATTTGTAATTGGAAGGTACTCTGGAATATACCTGACTTACTTTTTTGGATTCTGAAGGATCTTAGGGATGCCATTTCTGTAAAACTATTTCAGCTTTAAATGTATGTAGGTAATTTTGTTGTTTTGAGGTAATATCATTTCCAGAAGAAATACCAAGAGGTTTAAGCTTGCTTTTATTACAAGAATAAGTTTAGCCTCCATGTCACTCGAAAAGGCCACATTCAAAGGAGGGGTACCCGTTCTGGCCCTTACTAATTCTTGCTGCTGTCATCTCCATAGGAAGAAGGGGAACAGATTCAAGTATGGCATTAAGACACTAAATCATGAGCCACTCCAGGCTCAATGGCATAATCGTACATGACATTTGAGCCTTAGTTATGACAGTCTTCTATTACACAGCAAGTCTTCTTTCAGAGAGTGGGAGACAACCGAGTGATTATCAGAACTTTCGAGGAATTTAACTCTCTCAGAGAGATTTTCAATTGTCGCGTGCGGCTCAGCAATCCTCAAAGTCATCTATTCAAATTTGGCTTTGAAAAAACAAATATTATGCCCAATTTTCTAAATTGGACACGTGGGGTTTGATGTACACGTAGGCTTCCGCGGCTCGAGTCCATTACTTCTAGGCTGTCCGGGTGACGCCACGTCGTTGGCAGATAGGCCGACGTCGGCCTATCTGCCAACGACGCGGCGTCACCCGGACAGCCTACAAGTAACGTGGGGTTTGAGTGCCATAGCCAATTTGTTAGTGATAACCTTAGCACAGCAAGAAATAATCATCCATTAGATAAGGTCTTGGGGCTTTTTATCCCAAAAAGTTTTATTTGCTACACATCTATTCACTGATTTAGAGTGAGAAAGTGATTTTATGATCATAAATAGGATAAAATATTTTTGAAACCTGAGTAATTAAAAATGAAAGAAAAAATATCACAGTAATGCATACAGTGAGATCTGCATACTTTGCACACCTTAGAAACACTGCTACTGGAAGAACGCAAATCCAATTAACCATCACCCTCTTTGCTCCTCCAATAGGCAATTTTTTTTAAACATTTTCAGACCTTTTATCAACTTCAATTATACAGAAAGTTATTCCTACACTATTTGCTCTAGGGTGTTCACTGAACCAGGAGTAAATATATGAAACTGGATTAGAAAACTCACTTAAAATTACACTCCTTGAAATTACTAAAAGATACTCCAATTGCATGTATTCAATAAAATTAAAAGTAATTGAAAACTGCACACAAATGAAATCACTAAAAAAAGTTGTATTAATGAATGCTTTCTTTCAAATTTTATTATCTGGGGATAAATTATAAGCTATTTTATAAGAGTAAATTTTTATTCAAAAAGTTTCAACAGTATAATTCTTCATCAACATTGTTTCATGATTACTCCCATAAATGCATCTCTAGAATAAAACACCCATCATCTCACACTTTTACCCCCCTCGGGATGTAATGCTAATTAGATGCATTGACTTGAAAGCTGATTTGATAATTGATGTATTTAAATTCCTCAAAAATACATAGTATATTTAGCTACGATCTCTACAGGCTGAATTGTTGACAAAGTTCCAGTGTCAGGAGAACCCACACTCAAGCTTTCACATCAGTTGGCTGCTTTAACTAAGAAAAGTGACAATATTTTTTCATAAGTAACAAAGAATTTTGTAAAATTTAATTTGGGACGAATTCACTGTTCAATATACATTTTTTTTTTTCCAGAAAACTTACCACCATGAACTCGTGACGATCCAACATTCCATCCTTATCCATATCAGCCAAATCCCAAATTTTACCAAGGGTATCCAAAGGAAGCTTAGAATCCATTAGCAATCCTTTAACCTGTATATGTACAAATTACCATACCATTAAACCAAAGTACAAGGACAGCTCTAGAAAAGTTAAAAAACTATGGTAATTTATCCTGCTTACCTTGTTACCAGGTATCATGCCGTTAAGAGGTTGTAAAGAATCAAACAACTGATCATATTTTGCCTTTTCTGCTGGTTTAACAGCCCAATCACTAGTTGAAGCAGAATTTAGAGTAGGCGGAGACATTATGTTATTGTGAACTGGCATTACTGGTGGCACATCCCCCTTTGACATAATTTTTACATGACAATTTCAATAAGGATAATAATAATAATATTCCAAATATACCAAAAGTACTGAAATTACCTACCATCTTGGGTGGAGGAGTGTCTGCTGTTATATTGACCATGCTTACGTCTCTTCCAGACTGGGCAAGCGACACCAATTTCAAGGCAACAAAAAAGCCATCTTTATTGAGATAACCCTTTCCAGTAGGATTTGCTAAATCCCACACTTTGCTTAATATAACGTCAGATAAACCCGATCTTTTAAGGAAACTTGCTGCTTCTAGTGCTCCAATACTGCCCTGATTACTCGGGTCGACCTGAAGTCACCAAATCAATTCCATCAAATATTTTAGGCATAAGAAAACTGGAGACACATTCGTTCCTTGGTACTAAGAATTTCCTTTCAACAGTTTGGAGCAGTGGATTAAGAGCAGCCAACTACTTTCAAAGTCAATAAAAACTTTGCATTTTCTGGATTACAGCGAATTTTTACAGTGTACAAGTATGTCTGAGGAACTGTCAGAGGGGACAGTGTGCTTGATAAAAAAGTACAGTACTGTATTTATTCCTGTCTTTTGTGATGTAATTATTGATACTAGGTCAACAACCAATAATTTATAATCCTAACACAACAAACTCATGTGTTAATTCCTACCAATAATTAGTTTCATCTGACCCATTTCCTTCTCTTTCAGTCCACAGTACTGAGGTACAAGTGAACATCGCCCAAATGGTATTTGCAATGTCACTCTTAAGCTGGTAATTGTGTTTTTACTAAATAAAAACTCAGTGTTATATAAGAGCACAGTTTAGTGACTTATACACAAGATAAGTGTTGAATTTACTATATGTAATGTAACTTGTTTAATATAAGTAATTCAGATTTGTGCTTTTCAAGTTTTAATCATTAAGTAATAAACCCAATACATTCTCTAGGTACAAGTGCACATGCATTCTAAAGATACTAGTTACACATTAAAAATTCATTACACAAGCTTCTGTATCTTGATTATAAGAATATAACTTAGGACATAATGTAAATTATAAAATCATAATTGTTGACAGTTATAAAATGGCTTGTCCTACTTATTTAATATAACAGAGGTTCCACTAATTTCAACTGAATTTTCATAAAATCAATATCTAATACATAAAGCAACAGAAACCTGGGGAGATAAGCAAAAAAAAAAAAAAAAATTAGGAATCATATTTCTCACCTGATGATAATATGCTTCATATAGTGCATTATGGCTTCCTGCCACCTGTGGGGCAAATAAATATCTTCAGCAAGAAACCTAACAATTATCTTGTGAAAACATAACACATACGTGTCAAATACATTAAAATTTCTTTGATTTTATGTCTTTCTGCCATCAAGGGGGTGTGGACTTCATGGATTTTTGAACAGGCCAAAAATTCCGAATAATTATAGAAATTGATATTATGAATGAATATATCTGTTATTAAATACGACAGACTTTTAAATATTGATGATATCGCAAAGTAACACATACAAAAACGGATAATTCAAATAAACTCAGCCCACTGTCACATGAATGAGGTATCTCCATAAGTCAACCTGTTACTATGTGGCTTCAGAGCTCAACATTTACTCAAACAATAACGGCAACTAGGATATACTTAGCTCCAAGAATTAAAAACGGCGAAACAACGTACACTGTAAAATATTGGTCAACATTTATGTTATCATCAACACCGATACTACCTGCGTTGGAGACGGCAGAGCGGCCATCTTATTGATACTATTTTTACTGGTCTCTGTGCTTTGACTCGACCAATGAGAAATACAATCAATAAAACGTCATTCCCATTATCATTATCAAGATAGCGGTATCACATCTATTTTTTGGAAATAGTCCATCAGATGCAGTTATAAAATTCGTTGTACCTTCTAGAGATAACTATTTTCATTAATGGGGTGACGAACGCACGGCGCATGAGCACACGAGTGTACGGCGTACATTCGAGTCCGCGCCGTTCAATGACAGTAGTATTCGTTTCGTAGTAGTTGACAATCGAGGCAGTAGGGCAATAGACTCTCTGGAATCCAACAGTATCCCACCCTAACTAATTAAACGATGAAGTTTATCAGACTTACTATGCAACACATAAGGACCTTGTCAATGATCAAATTATGACTTCATTCTTGATCGAAGGCATATTTTCACGTAGGCTTTCTGGACAGTCCTTTCATTTTGTGTGTGGATCAGTTTTGACGTTTAATACAATATTCTGTAAAAGGTATATTTCCTTCTTTTTACACTATATGTAAACAAATTATTTTTAATGTTTCAAACATTTCGTTCAGGGAAAGTAGTAATGACATGATTTTGTAATGAAATTTCTGCCGGATACTCTAAGCTTAGGTTTCTATTTGTTTTGTCGAAAGGATAGGAAGAAGTAAAAACAATGGATGAAGATAGTGGAATTATAAATGACACAGATGAATTTACGGATGAAAGTTCCGGCACATTTAATTACAATATCACCAGAGGATACTGTATAGGTGATGACTCCCTTCACCGAAGATTATTCAGTCGCAGACGCTCAATGGGTGATATTTTGTCCCCTGTACCGAGATTTCATAGACGATCCAGTCTTCAGACACCAAGTAGAATTCACGAGATTATTCAACACAGTCGGTCGAACAGTGAGACATGCATCAGAAACTCTGGGACCCCTGGGATTGGTTCAGAACTTTTTGTTGCTTTTCTCCAAGAAGAAATAAATCGCTCTAATTTACAAGTTCCTGAATCTCTACAGAATCTTCCATCTGAAGACTCAATACCATGGTAGGATGTTGCAATTAATTGTGTTTTATGTTATATCGCACCATTATTGTGTCTTATGTTATGTCACTTCCATCACTGAGCAATATTTCTAACAAATGTGTCATTTACTGTCAGTGGCTCTGAGGTTGTACCTGAATTTCTCAGTTTGGGAACTCACTTGCGACTCATGGCTGATGAATTTGCAAGTTCAGACCATAGGCGTCGTGTAAGGCAACATGCTGAAATAGTTCCTCTTGGCAATTTGGATGCAGAATCCTTTACTGATTTATTATTTGGCATGTTCCAGGTCTGTTGGTTACCAACTTTAATATTATATGTAAATAGATAAATGTTATTAAAAATGTTTTGTATTTTTAGCAAGGTGGTGTTACTTCTGAGAGGGTGCTGGTACTCTTCATTTTCTGTGCAGACTTGGCTATGCGTGCATTACGTGAACATCTTATGTCTTGTTTTAATGATGTAATGAATTGGAGTCAAATCTACATTGAATCTTGGCTGACTCCTTGGGTACAGAGGCATGGCGGTTGGGTGAGCCTCAATTTATATTATTGAACTGATATTATCAGTAATAAGTGTTTTGTTACCATGTATTGTTTTGCAGGCAGTGGTCCTGGAACGATCTGTCCATGAAGCATATAAAGCAGCTGTTATTGGCGCTTGCATGATGAGCATACTAGCATTGTGGACTTACATCCGCACAGCGGGCCATTAATTTATATTTATGGAAATTTAATTAAATTATGAAAAGTATTTTACTTATATTGAAATTTTTATAGAAATAATATTTTTTATAATTGATAGTAAATAGTTTTCTGTATAAAAAGTAATTTGCTTGTTGTTCCACATATCTGTGGGTGTGGTTTTTCTAGAACGAGTGTTGAGCCAAGGCTCAGAGTCTTATCTTATCATTGTAATTGTTTTGTGTTTAAACTGTTTAAGGGCTCAGTTTTGGTCTGAGTTATTTTGTAACAGTTTACTATTGGATATGATACGCTTGAAAAGTAAATTTATGTTGAGCATTATGTCTGATGTTATTTATTTATTCTAACTTAATGTGAATGAAATGGCTAGACAAAGACCTCCCCAAAGCTGATATTCCACAAAGTCTTAAGCATCTGCATATCATATTCTACATTTAAATATTTTGTGAACCAACAATCATATAAAGTACCATAAGTAGTATAATACAATGCATAACGACGACTTCATAAATGGAGATTTTAATGGCCTGCTGTGGTGACTCACGAAAAGGAAGTATATTTCTTAATAGGCCTTATCTGAACCACCTGATGAGAAGTGTTAAAGAAAGGGATTTCCTATCTTTGAGATTCAATCAAGATCTGAGCTTGATCCTCATTCTGGGGATAATATCCTAATGTCATTTCCATGGTAGGCACCCAAAATTTACTGCTGGTCATTAAACTTTGAAGCTAGGATTATGTTAACTGTAAGATAATTCCATTCTTAAGATTCTTAATGTATTTTACAAAATCCTTCCAAAAGGTTGCACAGTAACTCCCATGTCTATCTACTGAATATAAGAGAGATGAACTATTCTGAGGAAGTCTTTCTGAGGAGAAGCATTGCTGACGATCAGAGCTACTTTTTAAGAAACAATGCAGATGAAAAAAATGTTTTCTACAAATATTGTTGTTATGCTTTTTGCCATTTATATCAAAGGCGTGGAACCTTCACGTAAGTCTGAATAAGAACATTTGGTTAAAATATGGTACACTGTATAAGTAAATTGGTATATTCATATTATACTGTTTAAAATTACTATAATATTAAGGTATTTTTGATTTCATTAACATCAACAATTCACACAGTTTAGGAACAATATTCCTTTTCTACAAATGGATCGGGGAGCAGTAGATCATGTTCATCTTTCTGTTGATTGGCCTCTTTCCCTTTTGCCTGCAGTTCAGTTATATTCTTGACTATGCCCATTCTTTTTAAGTTTACTCCATTTCCTTCTTTTTTTAATGTTATATATGATCTATCTCTAGAATCAGTGTGCATTAATAAAGTGAACCCTCTTTATTTTTTTAAATTTTATTATTATTACAGAGGTGGTTGGTTGTTATTTTGGTAGCTGGGCAGGATATCGAACAGGAAATGGATGTTTTCAACCAGAAAATATAAATGCTTCACTTTGTACACACATGTTTTATTCTTTTGTTGGCATCACATCAAATGGTGGCATTCGTATTCTAGATGAATGGAATGATTTGCCTTCAGGGAAAGGTATATATCCAAGCTTCATAAATGTGTGTGTGTATAAACTTGTATGAACTTTTGTCTATATAAGTAGTCAAAATATGTTCTGTACTGTATAACAAATTATCACATTCACAATGAGGTTTTCTGTTTTTGAAGATTTCTTTGGACGTTTCAATATGTTAAAGACAACCCACCCAAATGTCAAGACACTTGTGGCTGTTGGGGGATGGAATGAAGGATCTGTAACATTCTCAAAGGTAATCATTTTTCCTAAAAGCAAAGGGAGTGATGATCTTGTGAAATTTTCATCTCTGGATGTTTGCTATTTTTAAGTTTTCTCCATTAGCTTCTGACTGTCTGATTTTCTTTTATTATGACATGTTTTCAGTATGCTTTTTCGTTTGGTTGAAAACCTTTAAGTTTCATAACTACATTTATTAAAAAAATCATTGGGCTCATGAAAAGACTACAATGTACATAATTGACATTCCAATTTACAGGTAGCAAACGATGCAAATTTACGTTCAGCTTTTGCGAAAAATGCAGCTAACTTTGTATTACAGTATGGCTTTGATGGTTTTGACATAGATTGGGAATATCCAGCTAGTAGAGGAGGAGCAGCTAGTGACTATGTAAGTTGTTTTGTATAGTAACATTTGCAAGTTGTTTTAAATATTTTTAAAATTTTTTGATAAATACTTGATATTTCTGCAGGAAGCGTATGCATTAATGCTAAAGGAATTACGTTCTGTATTCGATCATCATGGTTTACTTCTCACAGCAGCTGTGCATTCTGGGCCTTCATATATAGACACCAGTTATAACGTCAAGGAAATATCACAGTAAGTTTTTAAAGTAATGATTTCTTCCATTATTTTGGGATAGATTACTCTTGAAACATTCGGAAATAATTTAACATGACTTGTGTATATTCACTAGAATAGCTGGTGGGGCTCTCTTGTACAGGGTCTTGTGAATAGTGAAACAGACACAATTTAAAACCTAGCAGGTGCTTGAGAATTCCCAATGAAAATTTCTGCGACACCTTTAGTTCCTATCTTGGTATTGGAGATAATGAAATAATTATAGACGTTGTCATTGCCAACAATAGTATTTAATATAAGAGCAGAATTCGATGGCTTAGCCATCATCATCAGTTGTCTGCTGGATGGAAGCTACAAAACTACTACTGCCATTGAAAGCTACTCTTATATAAATTACTATTGTTGGCAATGACAACGTCTATAATTATTTCATGAAAAATGCCAACGATAACGCACCACAACACCTATATTGGAGATAATATACCAATTTTTGCAGGTATTTGGATCTGATTAACATAATGACTTATGATTATCATGGGTCATGGGACAGCACTGCAGGGCACAATGCACCTCTGTACAAAAGCAGTGCAGACATCACTGCTGCAGATCTTGTTCTAAATGTGGTACGTAATAATAATAGTGTATTAGTTTCTTTATTTGAAGAGCAGAGTCTGTTGTTTAATTTGTGGGACAGTCGATCAGGCTCAAGTAATTGTTCATGTCCTTTTCGTGGTTTCATAAAAGTGAATCTGACACCTACTGAGTCTCTTAAGCACTCGTGAATGTTGATAGGATTGTAAAGCTGCACTTGCTGTTGCCACTAAGACCAACAAATTGCAATATAAATGTCACAACTTGATATTCATGGAATGAATAAATTGTTGTAACTTACTTTGGGATTCAACAATGTTTTCTATAAGTAAATGCAGTATTTCAAAATCCAGTATTTAAATAATTATTTTTAAATAGGATGCCAGTATTCAGCATTGGCTGCAAAATGGTGCAGTAGCAGAAAAGCTTGTCCTGGGTGTTGGAACTTATGGTCATTCATTTACATTAAGCGATTCTTCTAACACAGCAATTGGAGCCCCAGTTTCTGGACCAGGCATTGCTGGTCCATACACCCAAGAAAGTGGTTCTTTAGGCTACAATGAGGTAAATATGACACACCAAAAATGTAGTAACTTGATTGTTTTTTCAATTCAGATTATTTTATTCCGATGGCAACATAGTATCAATCAGATGAAAATGGTATTGATGAGAAAAATTAAAGAAAATTTATGCAAGTTGAGTGTACCCAATTTTAATGATACCTAGATGTTTTTATTTCCAGGTGTGTTTAAACATCAATGCTGGCTGGAATGTTGTATGGGATGATAATATTCTTGCACCATATGCTTACAGTGGCAATCAGTGGGTTGGCTTTGATAATGTTGAATCAGCAAAAATAAAGGTATTTAATTGCATTAAGAATGATTTGACAAACAGGAAGATGACATGGTTAAAAAGTTTTCTAATACAGTTTGTCACTGATATCTAATAATAATTCTGTTTTTCCATTAAATTAATTTTCAGTTTTTGAAATTCATCTCTGACAGATTTGTCTCTAATTGTGCCCCTCCTATCCTAGATACTCCAGTATATTTGTGTAAAGCATATGATAATTGATTTATAAGTTAATTTATGACTTTTTTTCCCCAAAAAAATATTACACAGGCTGAATATGCAAGAGATCTTGGTTTGGCAGGTGTGTTCATATGGAGTCTAGAGACTGATGATTTTACTGGCAGTTGTGGAGATGGAAAATTTCCTATTCTTACTGCCCTAAATGCTGTTGTTCGTACATCAGATGTATGTACTTTTCTTTATCTTTTTTGTAATTGTTGTGATTAGAGGTATTATTTAATGTATTTTTTGTTTCATGACTTTTATGCAATTCAAATGTTTTTCCATAAATTACAAGAGCACCTTTTAAAAATATGTAAATTTTTAAATATAATTTCTGCTAAAGAGACCATCACAAAGTTGCATCCATTGCAACTGGTATTTAATATTTTGCAAAGTGACATACCTGCTTGACAATCTTTCCAGTTTATTGATGTCAATAACATTTGAATTGTCTGCTAATTTACTTAAAAGAATTCTTAATGAATTTTAATAAAGAAACTCATGTTAATGTAGGAAATTAAAAAATATATTTGTGTGGGATCATTTATTCCAGAAAAATCAGTGCATCATCAAATAATTCTATCTTGAAATTCATTACAGGGAAATAATGAAGCTACTACACCTAGTGTTGGCAGCACTGATTCTACTGCAACTGCTACAACTACAATTGGTTCAGGTACTAGCCCTCAATCGTCATCCACTACATCCCCTCCCACTCAGCTATGTTCTTCAGTTGGATATGTACGAGATCCCAACGACTGCCAGATATTTTATTACTGTCAGCCAAATGGGCTAAATGGATTTACAAATCATAAATTTCAGTGCTTTGGTGACTTAGTGTATGATGTTACCTTGAACCTGTGCAATTATAAAGATCAAGTCCCTGAATGTAATTAGATTTACCTAAACGAGATGTAATGTTTTTCTCAATAATTTAAATAAAACTAGTTGTTTGGATGCCTGTGTGTTTCTTAATAACTGTGAAACTGTATTTGAAGTATAAAACTGCAATCATGAATTTCTTTCTGTATAATAAGTTACAACAGACCAGGATGCATACTGAGGGGAATGGTAGTCAAGAATTTCTCCCTCTTTATAAAAGGTTCCAATTTCTCTCTGACAGATACACAATCCATATCTAGGTATTAATTGCGCACCTTTTCTTGAATGATGACCTCGCTTCCCCCTCTCTGGCACAATAAACAGTTGAAGGCAAAAGCTGACAGTGAGTACTGATGACAACATTCCAATGAAATCTTCACTGGTGTGAAATACAAACTATTTTCTGTTGAAGATGAGAATTTCTGCCCATGATTTTCTCTAAAGATCTTATTTTATCTAAAGAAATGACTGAAGCAGGTAAAGATCAATCTCAGGAGATACCTCAAAATCCTGAGCAAGTTAGAACGCAAATTATTGAGAAATTTGCAATGGCATGATTCTCTAGAGATTGGCATTGCTTCATAAAATGTAGTGGCTGACTTTGTAACAAATACCCCCACTCTACCCGCATTTCTTCAATCCATAATCCATCCTTCAGGAAAAGTTGTGCTAGTAATGCCACATTTACGATCTCTTCTCTTTGAAATGTTCAGTTCAAGGGAACTGGAGAGGGGGGGGGGGTGCTTTTAAAATAGAGTTCTTAGGAGTTATGGACTGTGTTGAAGTAGCTCAGTTTAACTCTCTGGAGTTTTGAACATCAGCTCGTGGAGAAATTGTCAATTTGCACCATGACACAGACCCACATTACACTTGAAACAATTTGCCCTGCTTGTCTGCAGCTAAGATTGATTTCTTATTACATTAGATGGAGATCTGGTAACTGCTTCCCTTACTTATATTTTCTTAAAATTGTAGTCAAAACTATCCTATATTTGTATTATCTCTTTCTTATTTCATTGAAATTAACTTTCTAATTAAATATCATGGACATTTTTGAATCTTTTTTGGAGATCTTTAAATTTCATTAAATAATTATCCTGAGATCTCACATATGGTGCGAATAACCTTTACATTACTATTTGGAGCAATGGAATGTATCTAACAAAAACACTGAGATACAATTTAAGATTGTTCTTTTTGACTTGTTCATAGACAATTTGAAACAAAAAAAACAAAAAACTATTAAAAATAATTCAAATGTTTCTAACTGTATGGTTAACTTTGAAGCACAGTGTCACTCAAATGGGCACTTGACAATCAGGGCATAGGGTTGGGAAAATTACTTTAAATTTAGGATTTAAATATTTCAACAAATTGCTTTGCAAATATGTATTTAAATACGCAGTCAAAATACATTAGGTTTTGATTTGCTAAATACATACGTATTTAAAATACTTGAAAACATACAAATACAGTAAATTCAATTGTGTAATATCTTTCTTAATGCAACACATAAGTTCGTAATTGCCAATTGTCAAATATAACATACTGTCAAAAATATGTCTAACTCAAAACAACAACAAAACATATTTCCTTTTAAAATGACTAATTTTTCAAAAAATACTTGGACAATAAACTAGTTGGCGAATGTATAAAATCCGTAAAGGAAAACCGTCATTCAACTGGCTAAATGAAGGAGACAAGTGTTATGAAGAATAGACGCGGAATATTGTCGGATGATTGTCTAGGATTTTTAACGATTTATATTTACCGCTTAAAAATGAAAATTCAACAGCTAAAAGGGGCTTTTCTTTCTTTTTTCTTCAATAAAGTGCATTTATTAGTAGAACGCATCTTTTCTTGAACAATGTATTGAAAAATGCGGATAAAGCAGGAGAATTAGTTACGAAATTGGCCACTAGATTTTATGATGCAAACCCAATCTCTAAGTCATGCCTTCGCAACTTTCTTAGGAGATAAAGGTATCTCCTGTGATGGATCTTAACTAGCCTCGGTCGTTTCTTTAATTTTTTTTGGAGAAAATCACGGACAGAAGTTCAGCAAAAAATAGTTTGTATTTCGCGCCAGTGAAGATGTGTTTGGAATGTTGGGGAACGATGGGGGAAGCAAGGTCATCTTTCAAAAGAAGTTGCGCGATGATTGGACTAGATGATTTGCTAGCGTCGTTTTCAGGTGGCGGCATCAGCGAGTCAGAGATGTATCTCTAACTCGTTGGGCGGCATTTACTTTAAGGTTCACGCGTGATTTCAAACGCCATTTCAAAAACTTCCTCGTGGGGAAGCAATGCGAGCTTACGAAACTTCTACCATTCATTTCATTCACGAATTTCATTTCTTCCTAGAAGAGAGGGTGTTGCACATGCCAACGTGTTTGTTTGTGACATTTCGTTTTGCGAGCGAGGTTTGGCGGTTTGCCAGAGCTACCACTGCAGCCCTCCTCTCCCTACATGCGCCTTGCGGCGACGCCTGCGACCTGTCTGCTAGGCCGCTTCGCAAATTGGCACCTAGTGTGCCCCGGCAGATTGACGATCTGCCCGAATGTGTTTGAAGAACACATCACCCTGTCCGAAATTGTCGAACAACCACGTACCATCGGCACTCCACACCAGCCTGGGCGGACAAATTTTTTGTGGTCTAGCCACGAGGAAACCAGGAACGTTCCCCCTTCGCGCCGTCTCGCCGCGGCGTCTTTATAGGTTCAGGTCACCTGAACGGTACTTCTTCGCTCGGCCCCCCCCCCCCCTTTCACCTGGCACACTACTTTCAATATATCTTCAAGTACCAAAACAATTGTGAATATAAATTTTGTTTACATATATTCCCAAAAAATTATGTGTTGAGTTGATCGGAAGTTGGCGATGTTCCGGTGTCTTTGGTTCCTTGACGTCATTATTGGTTCATGGCGTGGTGTAAGATATATATCTCACATCGTTTGTCGTTCACTTTAGTTGAACTTAAATAGATGACTTCAATAGACTATTTTTATATCTTATATGACTCAATAATTAAAGGGATAATTCAAAATATTTAAATAAAAGAAGGTACATATTCTTTATTATTTTGCGGAATTGTCATTCACGGGTTTTGCACCACATGAAATATTAAGTTTATTCCACATGTTAAAATGCTTTTTGTACACCCTCCTACAAAAAGAAATTACTTGTAGGGCAAACAAAGAGTACTGAAAGTTCAATTTTTGGCACTAGCCTTAAAATTGAGACAATATTCATTATATTAAGATAAAACTGTGAATATAACAATGAAAACAATACTTTAGTCTGATCGCATGAACTACTGCTGTTCTTAATACAACATACCTTTGATTTGTAAGTTTGAATTAAAACATAAGTGAAGTCAAAAAGACGCGCGTGGTAAAAGTGATTTTATTTTGTTGGTGGGATTGCGCCACTCGGCCTCGTGTTGCAACATTTCCTACGCGCAAAATAAAATGCAACATTCACCACTCGTAACACAAATATACTCGTAACACTATCATAAAGACAAATTCTGCGCATTGTTAACAGGACGCGAAATGGACTATTTTTCATATCAATTAAAAACACGATTGCCACGACAACTGTCTTATTACCGCGAAAAAAGTACTTCATTCATGGAAATTTAACGAAGTATACCTTAATAACCCTCCACAAGCTACTGCTATTCCCCGAGATACCAAGGCACCCTATTGCAATATAAAGTTACGAACTTTTCCATATATTTTTATATTATACTTTTATACAGTTAGAGAAAAATTTTCATATTTCGTGAGCATTTTTTTCTCAGGTCTTTTCTCTTTGGTCCGAATTTTTTTTGGCCTTGATCTACCGTCTCGGCAAAAAGTTCAAATTCAACGCTGAAAAAACACCTACATCCAGAGTTGCCAGATTCCTTCTGAGAAAAACCGCCATCGGAGGGATAGAAACCCACCCCATTCCGCCAAATATAACCTAGTGGGGAAGAAAGGTGAGTGGTGAATAAAGTTGACTCTGACACTGGAGCTGATAATTTCAAAATAACTGTACGTTGACAAGAAGTTTAATACTTAATACTCCTGTGCATAAAGCCTATCTATTAAGCGTAATCTTATGGCTTAAATACTAATACAATTTCCAGAAAATGGAGCAAAAAGCATATTTAAAAAAAATTAAAATAAAAAAAACGAACCCTGGCATATTTTCACTGTAGCTGCATATTTACAAGGTGTTCAAAACTAAAACACTTGTTCGTACGCCTTTTCTTTCAAAAGCCATAAATACGTGTACAATGTGGGGAAATGTGAGTATTATTGGCTAAGCAGAACGCAAACCGCCCTAAATCCTCCCACGAAGCAGCGTGTTCCGCCCAACGGACGGAAGGAATCCCGCCAGAGGCCTTCTGCCCGCTCGTCGACGCTTCTTTGTCACCAAGTGGCGGCGTTCGGTCGGATTTGTACGAAAGGTTCCGCGGCTCGAATCCATGAATTCTCGGCTATCCGGGAGACGCCGCGTCGTTGGCTGGGGTGCCGAAGTTTCGCCTGACATTTCGCAGGCTTCCTCGGGGCAGTGACCAACGTGACGTCACAGTGACAGTGACAGGTCTTCGGTCAGATTTGCCGGCGGATTCCGAACTCGCTCGCACATTTCCCTCTTAACGCACTCGTGAAACACGTGCCCTGGTCGGTCTGCAATTCCTTAGGGAATCCGATTCTGATAAATAGTTTTAGTAATGCACGGATTATCGTCGTGGATTGAAAATCTGTTATTCATATTGCCTCAGGATATCTGGATGCTAAACAAATGGCTGTTAAAATGAACTTGTTGCCTTCCTTGCTCTCTGGAAGAGGTCCGCCAGTATCAATATTGATTTTAGCAAATACTTCCGTTATGAGAGGTACCAAAACCAACGGTGCCTTTTCTCGGTCAGTTGGCCTGCCTACCTTCTATCACACATCGCACGATTTCATGTAAGTCTCCATATCCTGGAAACGCCAATAAAAAAGACATACTACATTTAGTTTTAATGCAACCTAAATGTACATTTGAGGTTCCGTGGCACACCTTAAGAATGGCAGCACGA